AACGGTCAAATTTCTAGGAAAGATGGAAGAATAAGATCATACATCCAAATTCTCCTCTTAGAAAATTAATGCAATAATTTTCAAATGAAGGAAAATGTAATCAGTGCTGAAATAGGGAATAATGTGAACTAGCCACATATTTGGAAACATTTTATTAGTTTATTTAACATGTTTGAATCTGAAGCAAAGAGCAGGAGCCCTCTTAGAATTATTTCATACTGAGATTTGAAGCATTTGAGAAAGCTACTCATACAAAATAGAACTTCCATGAATTATAGGTCTGTCCCTGGCCCAGCTTCCCATTAATATGATGCACACAATTATGTACATAGAGTAGCATATTCAGAATTCAGAAAGGAATATCCATAATTTATAATGACATAAAAATAATATATATATAAGTAATATAATAATACTTGTATGGAATCTAAATCAAAAACTATCAAATTGTATACAGCAAAGTCCCCCTCTCATAGCTGCCCTAAAGCACTCACCTCATTTCTTCTTCCTTTAACTACAATTAATAGTTTCTTGTATAAATTTCTAGAAATATTATCCCTATATGGACATATATCCCTCTACTCTTCAGTGTTCTGTGCATTCAACAATATATCTTGTCATTCAACAATATATCTTGCAGATATTTCCAATAAACAGTAACATAAAGAACCTCCTTGGTACATCTTACAGAGTACTGAATTGTGCAAAAACATTTTAATGTATTAAATTACCTTTTACTGATGTACATTGTATCATGTTTTTTAAATAATTTGAGATATAATCTAATTATATCTGCAATGACCCTATTTTCAAATAAAGTCACATTTTGAGGTAGTAAGGATCAGAACTTAAACATATGAGGGGACATAAGTCAACCAGTGACACACACATACATTGCCAACAGTGAAGGGAAATGGCATGCTTATATACTGATAATGGCAACATGAATTGTTTAACATTTTAGAATGACAAATTGTCAATATGTACTAAAATTTTGTAAATGTGGCTACTTTCTGCAATAACAATCTTGATAATTCTGTCTCTATCTTAGGCAGATAGTTACACAGGAACAAAATATTATATGGAAAATGTCTACATGGTGTTGATTTAACATTAAAACACAGAAAATAATAGTAAACAATTGACTAAATGGGTTGATTCACATATATGAGGTCATTAAAAATGGAGATATTTTATTGAGTTTCACAATACTATTACTTCCCAGTGATACCAACATTTATCACATCATTGTCAAGAATGCTGTGGCCTTGAAGGATACTTTTCTTTTTAAATTTAAAGTAACTAAAATAGGTAGTAACTAATGTATATATACTCTTAACTTTAAAATATTACTATTTATAACTAACAAGAAACAACAAGTATTGGTGAGGATGTGGGGAAAAGGGAACTTTTCTGCATTGTTGGTGGGAATATAAATTGGTGCAGCCACTATGTAAAATGATATAGGAGTTACCCCCCAGAATTAAAAATAGAACAACCATATTATGCAGCAATTCTACTTCTGGGTATGTATCAAAAGAAAACAAAAAACACTAACTCAAAAAGATATATGCACTCCCATACATGCTGAAACATCATTTACAATAGCCAAGGTATGGAAGCAACCTAAGTGTCTATGGATAGATGAATGGATAAAGAAGATGTGGCACATATATACAATGGAATGTTATTCAGCCATAAAGACAAGGAAATAATGTCATTTATGATTACATGATGGACCTCGAGATCATTATACTAAGTAAAATAAGTCATACAGAGGAAGACTAATATTATATAATCTCACTTATATGAGGAATCTAATACAAAACATACACACATACAAACACAAGCTCATCGATACAAAGAAGAGACTGGTGATTTTCAGAGATAGGAGTGTTTGGGGGTAGAGGGAGGAAGTGGGTGAAATGGATGAAGGAGGTCTAAAGGTACAAACTGCCAGTTATAAAATAAATAAATCCTGGGGTAATGTACAGCATGATAACTGTAGTTAATAATGCTATATTGCTTATTTCAAAGTTGCTAAAAGTGTAGATCCTAAAAGTTATCATTACAAGAAAGAACAATTTACAACTATATATGCTGATGGATATTAACTAGACTTACTATGGCAATCATTTGGCAATGTATACAAATATCCAATCACCATGTTGTATAACTGAAACTAATATAATGCTATTTCAATTATATCTCAATTAAAATATTATTAACTTATGTGTATATTTATTGATAAGAAAAATGCTAACAATATAAAATTAAATAAAAATAGCATAAAACAGTATTAATAATATGGTCCAAATTATGTAAAAATTACAAGGGGAACATTCTTAAGGGTTATACACCAAGAAGTCCAATAATCACTTAATGTACCAAAATCTTCTAAGAAGATGCCACCATTTTTCCAGATGGTAAAATTAAATAATATTTTTATTTTTATTTTTTTGCTTCTCCATATTTCTAATTTTCATGAATGTATATTACCTGTATGATTAAGACTAAACAAACAGTCATTTAAGCAACTGAAGGGGGAGCTGGGTCTACTTGGATAGCTAAACTGATACTACATGAGAAATGCCAAGGAGGGACTGGATGTAAGGAGAGTACATGCATGCAGCTACAATGGCCCTGGGAATTATCTCCCTCTGGACAGGTGGACGTCCCAGGGGTGGGTAGGGTGAGGGGAGGACAATGTCCTGGGCATCTTGAAGCCTCCTGTGCTATGCCACACTGTGCAGAACCTTGCCTCTGGCACACATGGCCTCTTCCAGGAGCCTGGGTCCTCTGCTCACAAGCTCAGTGCGCGGAGAGACCAGATGGTATGTTTAGTGTCTGACCTCGTCCTGATCTCAGTCAGGAGGTCACAGCAGCAGCTGCCCCAGCAGCACAATGCAGAAACACCCCAGGGAGCAGGAAGCTAGCTTCCCTTACAAAGGCAAGGGGCACAGTAATACAGAAGGAATGCATTTTGCAGGTGCTGAAGACAACTCCCCATCCTCAGGCCTCTCCCCAGCCCAACTTTCTCACCTCACCTCCCTCCCTGCCCCACACCCAGGCTATGTAGCACTGTTCCCAGGGAGAAGGAGACTGGGGAAGGGAGTGCTCTGAGCCTGGATATTGGCAGTGAAGGTGCAAGAAGACCTGAGTACCAGGATGGGGGTGTTGGCCCTACCTTTCTTTCCATGGGGCCCCAAGATGTGAGTCTTGAGCATGCTAACAAGGTAGGTGCCCAGTCCAGTGATCAGGATGTGCAAGCCCAGCAGCAGGTCACCAAATAGCAGGTAGTAAGTGTACTGTCATCCCTGCTTCACCATGAGCAAAGGAGCCCAGAGAGGTTGGGCAGCTGGCCCCAGGCCACATTTCCAACACTTATAGAGGGTGGAAGATGAGGCCAGAATCTGAGCCTCAGCCACATGATAGCCCTGCTGACCCTGTGCTCCATGGCTTGGAATACTTCTTGGAGCAAAATGCCAGGGTGCAGGTGGCCAAAGCACACCCACACTGGCATCTGTACACTTCCTACAAAATTGGACACTTGGCCTCAGTGGCTGACTTGCACTGGCTGGAAGGAGGGGACATTGGACTCAGACCAGCCATATACACAGTGTCTGTCTGGCCACTCAGCCTGGTCCAGCCACTACTGACTCCACACATGGGACCCCGGAATCCACTCTGAGGAGGGCAGCCCACATACCTGAGGCCCCAGACTTTCTATCTTCTCCAGCTTTTCCACCAGGTCATGCACTCAGGTACCTCTAGCTTTTTGACACTGTTGTATTACCTTTCTCAAGTATAGCCTTTCCCCATACCAAATACCAAATCTCTAAATCCTGTTGTCCTTTAAATCCACTTCAAATACTGATGTTTTTAGATAACCTCTTCTGGTCCAGGGGTAGGAGAACATGACATAGACAAAATGACATATTGTAACATCACAAGGAGAGAGAACAGCAGTGTCTATAATGAAATAAAAGGACAAGAATACCCTAATTCATTTATAATTGTGGATTCAGAGATCTTACATGGAGACAAGTGTTGAAAGTTCTTATCCCTCCATGGCAAAAAATATCGTAGAATATGTGGGCCCCAAGATATACTTCATTTTTCCAAACACCCTAAGGTTAGTCAGGAATGAGGATTTCTTCTTCCTTAGTCCCCTGAATCTTTTCAGTTTCTAAATAGATATCCAGTTTCTAAATAGGAATTTAGGGCTACAGAATGTGTTCCTATGTTCTATTAATCAATATCCAAGGATGAGCCATTGATTGGACCTGGCAAACTTTGCCAGACAGACTTGTTTCTGACACTGGTGGTTTATTTAAGAAAATAATTACAGTCCTCACCAGTGGACTCAGTTGGTTGGGCACCATCCTGCCCAAAGTCAAAGGTTGCCAGTTCAATTCTTGGCTGGGCACATACCTGGGTGGCAACTTCATTCCCTGTGGGGCATGTGTGAGAAGCAGCTGATTGATGTTTCTCTCACACATTAATACTTTTTTCCCACTCATTCTCCCTCCCTTCCCCTTTATCTAAAATTAAATAAATAAAATATTTAAAAAATAAAAGAATTCATGGCTCATCCCTTGACCTCCTGGATGTGTACTTGGATTCTCTTGGTGTTAATAACTTGCCACCTCAGCATTGGTGGAGTCAAGCAAGTGTATTTATGAAAACTTTAGGATCCATTCCATGTGCCTTCTCTCCTGCTACAGTTCAGTCCTAATTTCTTTGACCTTTTAATCCACTCCCCAAGAGAGAGCAGAGCATGGTGTTTGAAAGCATGGATTTGGGAGCCAATCTGCACAGATTCATACCTTAGCTTTGACACTTACATAGCTTTGCCATGGGATACACTACTGAATATCTCTATGCCTCAGTTTCTTTATAAATCTATTTTGAGGATTACATAAATTATTATAAACACTTAGAATAGTGACTGGTATGTGGTACAGGTTACAAAAATTCTTGTTAAATAAAATAAATACCTGTACTAGAGCGGATGATCTCTGTCCCAACAACATGGCCCAGCAAGTCATACTGATTTAGGCGAGAACCATCCTGTGCTACTTCCACAGATTTGTTCTTCCCAAGAGTCCAGGAATAAACCACTTCAGCTGTTGTATATGCATCTAAGGCAGAAAAGGGTCAAGAAGGATAAGTTGAAGGGAAAGAAAAATGATTATCCTTAATAGTAAACATGCATGAGATTGAAATACAATTCCCATTCCAAAAGAGTTTTGGGAAGGTACTCTCTCTTCAACTGAAGTACATTTATCCATCCATCTAATAAACAATCATTGTATAACTACTACAGATTATCACAGAAAGGAACCAAAAGTGGTCTCTTCTATCAATGACTCATAGTCTTTTGGACTGTCAATAAATTATTAAACTTCTCCTCTTGGAGTGTAGAGAGTAGACAAGGGGAGGGATGGATAAAATATTATCTAATGTAGTTATCACAAATTTAAATGCCTACAGAAACTAGAGAAATACCTTAAGTGAGTAAATCAGCTAGTTGTATTGAAAAATTAACTGTCAGAAGTGTAATAATTTTTCTTTAATTAATTATAGGATAACCATATGAGATAAAAAATATTTTTCTTTTCCCATACTAGGAATAATTTAAGTTAAAAAAATTAAAATTTTGAAATTGAAGTAGCAATAATTTATAATTATTATTTTCTTTTAAAACATATTACCACTCTGATTTGCAAAACGTAAACCTGCCACCATTTTTTTTCTGCACCAGGCTGTTAATGTCGGGTCTTGCATTAAGAATTCCAATATCAAGCACAGAATTTAATACAGGTTAGTTTTTTTTAACTATATTTTATTGATTATGTTATTACAGTTGTCCCCTTCCCCCACTTCATTTCCCTCCACCCTGCACACCCCCTCCCACCCACATTCCCTCTTTTAGTTCATGTCCGTGTGTCTTAAGTTCTTTAGATTTTACATTTCCCATACTATTCTTGTCCTCCCCCTGTCTATTTTCTGCCTGCCACCTATGCTACTTATTCTCTGTACCTTCCTCCCCTCTCCTCCTTCCACTCCCTTGTGGTTAACCCTCCTTGTGATCTCCATTTCTATGGTTCCACTCCTGATCTAGTTGCCTGCTGAGTTTGCTTTTGTTTTAGGTGTGGTTGTTAATAACTGTGAGCTTGCTGTCCTTTCACTGTTCATCTTTTTATCTTCTTTTTCTTAGATAAATCCCCTTAACATTTCATATAATAAGGGCTTGGTGATGATGAACTCCTTGAATTTGACCTTATCTGAGAAGCACTTTATCTGTCCTTCCATTCTAAATGAAACCTTTGCTGGATAGAGCAATCTTGGATGTAGGTCCTTGTCTTTTATGACTTAGAATACTTCTTTCCAGCCCCTTCATGCCTGTAACATCTCTTTTGAGAAATCAGCTGACAGTCTGATAGGAACTCCTTTGTAGGTTACTGTCTTCTTAGCTCTTGCTGCTTCTAGAATTCTCTCCTTTATTTTTATCTTGGCTAATGTAATTATGATGTGCCTTGGTTATTCTTCCTTGGGTCCAAATTCTTTGGGACTCTCTGAGCATCCTGGACTTCCTGGAAGTCTATTTTCTTTGACAGATTGGGGGAGTTCTCCTTTCTGATTTGTTCAAATAAGTTTTCCACTTGTTGCTCTTCCTCTTCCCCTCTGGTACCCCTATAATTCGGATGATGAAATGAAGGGACATACACAGGGAACCAAAAACGATGGGAAGGAAACTGGGACTCAAATCAATGGAGTGGACCAGAAAAAAGAAAGAAACATTCAACTAGAACCGAATAAAGAAACAAAAATTCAAAAAAAAAAAAAAAAAAAGCGAGGAGCGGCTTAGGAACCTCCAGGACATCTTTAAACATTCCAATATCAGGTTAGTTTTAATATGTGTGTGGGTAAGGGGAATGAATTGTGGATGAAGGATGAAGCTGTTCAATTTTAGTATCTATCTGAAAGGAAAAGAGAGACTTCTTTTCTTTCCAGACATGGATTGACTCTTTGCACTGTGGGTTTTATACTTTAGATGAGCATCTGGCCCTAACTCTGGCACCTAGGTTCATAAAGGGAAGTTGACTAGTATACTATTTACCCATTTCATCTGTTTTGGGCTGTTGTTAATGTCAGTGGAGGATTTCCACTTCATGGTGGCATTTGTTATATCCATAATATGCTCTATCTAAACATTTTACCACAAAGTGAATAATTCCTAGTGAATTTACCAATGAACAAATATAAACTCTGTGTCCCTCCAAAACCTTGCAACTTGGATATATATTTCATAACATCTGACATTAACCCTTACTCACATATACTAATTGTTTATATTACAATTAGTTTATATTACACTTCTTTGGATTTTTTAATATATCAAAATAAACCATTTCCTGATGTGCTTGCAATGGGAAATATGCCAAACAGTCTTCATTCACATAAAAATTCTCATTAAAATCATAACATATATATTATTTATATATCATTATATATATTATATATAATAAAAACTCTATGGTATTTTTATATTTGTGTTCTCACAACCTACAAAATAAAATAACACATGCAATCTAATTTTTCCATGTAATATGCCCCATTTGGTTTCAGTCATTTCTTCAATACACTGACAGAAATATTTATAGTTTACCATAAAATTTCTGCTGTGATTAATAAAAATTTTAATAAGTGTAATATTTTGATTCATGGAAGGTTTGTTGCTTAATGCATCATTGCATTTCCCTGTAGCACACTCACTGCATGTATTCATACACCTATTGAACTTTTAGTTTTAGTAAATACATAAATAATAAACACAATAAATAAACAAATCTGGAATTTTTTATAGCATTTCCCAAATTTTAAATATTGGCAAATAATTTTAAAGGTTACAGACACTGCATATATCAAGTAAATCACATCTGCAAACCACCAATATGCATTCTGTGGTCTAGAGACTTTATCCTTTAGATGGCTATGGTATTTTGTGATTCAGCCTTGAAAACAAAGGACCCTCTGCTGCCTCTGTGGTATTCCCAACTGGAATTGTACATCCTTAAACTACTATCATGAAGAAGAAAGAAAACTTTACTCAAAACTCTTCTCACCCTCTTATTCAAAATTGATTCTGAGGAGGCTTTCAAGATGGCGATGGAGTATGACAGAGCAGATAGCAGTTCCTAGTCCAAAAGGGAGAGAAACCTGTCCAATCGGAGGAGGAGAAGCCAGCAAGCCAGCTGTTGCCAAGCATATATGAAAATAAGGGACCAGAAACCTTGATGGTCACGGAGGAACCAGACGGTAGGGAGACAGCAGTGGTACAGTAGTCTCGGGAAAGAACAAAGAGGAACAGCAGGGATCTCCAGGGTTGCATGGTTGGGGGACCAGCGCCCAGCAGCGAGCGCCTGACAGTGCCTGGACCAAAGTTCAGTGCCCTCAAGGCTCCCTCCCTAAGATTTTTTCGCCGGGACCTGCCAAGTGGCCCAACCAGAGGGGAGCAGAGAGGATTTCAGCCTGCCCACAGTTCGGGGGTCCAGCGCCTGGCGTGCAGTATGTCTGGGTGAGTGCCTGACAGCGCCTGGGACAGTGATCAGCGCCTGTGACAGCTCCATCCTTAGGATTTTTCAGCCGAGGTTGTAGAGGGCACCCAGACAAACACAGGAGCAAAAGGGATTTCAGCCCACACACAGTTCTGGGGACAAGTACATACCACACATCGTGCCATGACGTCTGCACAGAGTTTCTAGGTCAGGGCCCAGTCCTCAGATAGGCTCCCAGCTTCCAGTACACCCCCCTCGGACTATCTGGAAGCCCTGGGTGCTGAGGGGTCCTGGGGAAAGAGCTGAGACCCTCAACCCCCTCCCTTTCTGGCCAAGCAAGGTGGGGTGCCAGGAGAGACTTGTTTGATAGAGTTTGCGGAGAGTGTACTGAGGACAAAGGGCCCCAACCGAGGACACTGTGGTTGCCAGCTCAGGAGAACTGAGAGGTGCAGCCTGGGGCTCTGAATCCAATAGACACAACAGCCTGGTCTGCTCCACACCCAGCTTGGCAGCAAACCCCAGATTGGGCAGAGGGCCTAGAGCTTCCCCACAGAACGGGGGCAGGTCTGTGCTCAATCCCGAGGGAACCAGGCAACTAGGCTGGCGCAGGCACCCCCAAGCTCTGCACACCAGCCCATGGCCGTAACCCCTGGGAGGGGAGCGCTGTGAGGAAGTCCTAGTTCCCCATTGTTGGGAGATGGGGAGGGGTGCCAAGTGTCTGACTCCTGAGTGAGGGCTGGCAGAAAAATCACAACAATCGACCCTCAGCCAACTGCAGCCAGAAAAACTGGTTCAGCTAGTTTGAAACCTACAAGTGATGTTTCCTTTTTTTGTTGTTGTTTTGTTTTTTTCTCTTTATTTTATTTTTATTATTTTTTTTACTTTTCTTTCTTTTTCCATTTCTTTTCTTTATCTTTTTGCTTTTTTAAAGTAATCTGTTATTTCTTTTAAATTTTATTACTGTTTCATTTTTCGATACTTTTGTCCTCTTTTGTCAGATTTTCTGTTTTATTGCTTCTTCTTTTCTTTCTAAACTTACTGCTTTTTCTTCCATTCCCCTACTCTTTTTTTCCTTCCTTTTATTTCTTTCCTGGTCTTTTCTTACTTTTACCCACAAGACTAACAATCAACTTGAAAATATGAAAAAACCAGAGCTGGACACATAGAAGAGGCCTCCCAATAGTAGAGTCAGAAAGACAAATTGCACTTTGATGTAGGAGAGAAGCCAAAACTTGCTGCATATTTGAGTAGGTGGAAGCACAGAAAGACAGGATGACTGAAAGAGACTACACCACTGAAATTCACAGGCATTCCACCACAGAAGTTCACAATATAAACCCAGGGCATCAGAACAGATCAATTTTAGAAGCTGAGACTAACAAGAAGAGTTTCAAACAATGGGAAGGGAAAGAAACAATCCCCAAATGAAAGGAAAGGAGGAACCCTCAGAAAGAATGTTAGATGAAATAGAGGCAAGTCAACTATCAGATACTGAATTCAAATCACAGGTTATCAGGAAGTTCAAAGAGCTCCCAATGAGCTACCAGAAACTACAGGGGAGCTATAACAATCTCACCGCA